GGTGAGGTTGGCCCAGGATCGAACATTGTTTCGTTCTGCTGTGCATGGAGTCGCTATGAGTCGGTTCCGACTCGATGGCACCTGACAACAACAACAATGTATGCATTTCAAAAAATGTTTGTACCAAAATAAACTAATTCATTATAATATATCTGAACAGGATCTAGTTTGAGGCACTAATAAGGATAAGGCATCTGTTTGAAAAGAACCCCTATAAAAACAATATGAATTCCGCTAAAACTGAAGCAAGAACAAGTATCAAAATTATGATGAAGCATGAATGGAAAAATGCTGAAATCACTGATGTTTTATGAAAATTGTATGGGGACAATGTACCAAAGAAAGCAACAGTTTACAAGTGGGTAACTTGTTTTAAGAAGGGATGTACCAGTGTCCAAGATGAAGCCCACAGCGGTAGACCATCCACATCAATTTGCAAGGAAACAACCTTATTCATGCCCTAACTGAGGACTGACGACTAATAACCGAAACAATAGCCAGCACCACAAATATCTCAATTGGTTCTGCTTGTGCAATTCTGACTGCAAAATTAAAGTTTGGCAATAGGTGCCAAATAGATACAAAAGCTGTTGCTCCCAGATCAGCTGTAGACAAGAGTAGAGCCTTCGATGAAAATTTTAAACAAGTGGGATGAAGATCTTGAAACATCTCTTGGAAGAACTGGAATAGGAGCATGGCTTTACCTGTAAGAGTCTGAAGACAAAGCGCAATCAGAGCAATGGCTACCAAGAGTCACAGCAAAATTAGACTCGTCAAGAGTAAAGGTCACATACAGGGAATGAGACATGGTTGGAATGGGGAAAGGGGGAAAATAATGTTAAGATGCTTGGCTGTTTTTTGAATCTTGGTTTCCATGGCATGCCATTATAAAATAGACATTTGAGGGGGAGAGAAAGAAATAGACAGAAATATCACCATAGAAAGCTTGTAAGTCTGTCTTCTGCCTATAACTGATTAGAATACCTAAAATGGGGCTACAACATGCCCGGTGAAGGAGGCTTCCTGTGTAGCCTCTGCATTACATAAGATCATAGGTGGATTCCTGAACAGCATCCAGAATCTTTTGAGGTGGGAAATTTCCACTTGAAAGGACAAGCAGACAGCCTGGAACACCTAGAAGAATAGAAGATATTTCTTGAGAGAAAGACCGACAGGAAAAATACAAAACAATAATGGCAGTCTGACTGATTACTACAAGAACAAGCAAGTTGCTTGCCCACGAGACATCAAGGCAAGTGGTCAGGTCCCCTCAGGGCAAACACCCTTAAAAGACTAAGAATCAATGGGAATACACAAGCAGACATGTGCTCTGACTGGTGACCACATTCGTCACCGATAAGGGGAAGTGAGGGAAAAACAGCAATGAAACTGCGAGCTAAGCCCTACAACATTCAATAGACTCCTATAAACGCAGATGGAGATCTAGTTGGCCAGCAGTGTGGCAAGTCAATGACATAGCCACAGAGGACTAGAGTGGAGAGTGAAGCATCCAGCTGATAAGAAGAGAGGGCATATGCATAAGAACACCCACACCTGCAGATAATACCCACTTGACTTGGCTTTAATGACTGGATGATCAGAGCTCAACTAGAAGAAGAAAGAAGAGGGAAAAATGAGTAATCTGATACAATTTGATGAACTTGACCTACATCTATGGATGCAGTAGCTCAAAAGAGGGAACAAATCTTTACAGAGAGGATCATTCCCACCCCACCCCACACACACAGAGTAGACAGGGATGAGCAACTTGGACATTGGATACCCAAAATGGGGAGTGGAGGGCTACAAAGGCAAGAAGTGACTGGCTTACAACCTTTCAAGAGGGAGCCTAGATCCAGAGGACATGGAGGAAGGTAGAATCTCCACTGAGTAGTATCCAATCTGTCTGGGCGGGGCTCATGAAAGGAGAAGTGGATAGGTCTCTTGTGATACAATAGTGAATAATTGTTATCGGGACAAATTGTGGGGGTTGGAAATGTACAAGTAGATGTTTTGTAGCAAAAAAATGGGAGTGATTGACTTTGCAGTCTAGGAGCGGAGGTCCCTGGGACCTTCAAGGGAGAAGAGCGGAGTTCAGGACCCTACCCAGAGAAACAGTGACGCCAGAGATGAAGGCACAGACGAAGATGTGGAGAGACAGAGTGGCTGGGGACTCTAGACCCAGAGAGGGAGAGGGGCTGTGTGCTGATGAATGGGGGGAGGGGGGCAGGCTTGCAGGGTATACCCTTTGGTTGATTGATGATGCTGGGAGGGGATTATAACCATGGCAATGAAATGATATATGATAGGATGAATTTGTAAAACTAATGTTCTCCCATGTAAACTATCACATAATTCACAATAAAACTTTTTTTTTTTTTAAAAAAGAGTATAGGTCATGACAACAAGTTTTGTCGTTTTGTTTGGATATTCATAGTGTTTTGCTTGTTGACTTTCTGGAGGGCCAAAAAACAGTAACATCTGCTTATTAGGAGAGTATTTTGAGAAGTTAGCTAAAGTTATGACAGAAAAACGTCAGTGAAAGCTTCAGCAGAGAGTTCACCACCCTAACATGCTCCTACTCATTCCTTTCAATAAACAAGGGTGATTTGGGGAGCCTTTCAAAGGGAAATCACTAGGCATCCACCTTACAGTCCTGATTTGACTCCTTCTGATTTCTTTTTGTTTCCTAATTTAAAAAAATCTTTAAAAGGCACCCATTTTTCTTCAGTTAATAATATTTAAGCATTTACATGGTTAAATTCCTAGGACCCTTAGTTCTGTATTGTTGTTGTTGTTAAGTGCCATCAAGTCAGTTCTGACCCATAGAGACCCTGTATAGGGTTTCTGAGGAACAATCGGTGAACTTGAACTGCCGACCTTGTGGGTCAAATCAACCTTGCAGGCCAGCGCATTAACCTGCAGTGCCACAATTGCTATCATTGCTTACAAAAGTGTCTTGACCTTGATGGAGACTATGTTGAGAAATAAAGTTAAGAATTTTTATTTTATCTTTTCATTCCATTTTTCCACAAATTTTTGAAGCTTCCTCAGAATATTATCTTGATTACATGGAAATATCAAAACACACTTCTAACGTATTTATTTTTAAAAACACTATTTCCATTCAGTTCCCCTATCTGGTCAGCTCTCTTTCTTACCTGCTGGGCTTCCTCATGGAAGAGTTCCTGCACCTGAGCAGTCTGTGCCATTCTCCTGGAAATGGAGGTTCTGGTGGTCTGGGCAGGGAGGCTCTTCTGGAAGGCAAACATTATTCTGAGTCAGGCTTCCTCCTCCTTCCCTCTTTTTATTTTCCATATTCCTCTCTCACCAGAGTGTGAGGAAAGGACATTTTCTAACTCACTGGAGATCCATTCCCTTCCCTTCTTTCATACCCAACTAGATTCCACTCATCCTCCAGTGTCAACTGAGCACAGATTTGGCTCTCTGAAAGCCACAGTCTCTCCTTCTTTTCTGAGCTCCTTCAATGAACAGGAGCAGCCTCCCAGCTGTCCAGTCCTTGAGGACACAGCTTGGCACTCCTTTCATCTTTGTCGCAACTAGAGCTCATTACTTAAAGGCAGAAATGGGCCTTACTTTCCTGTCCTGTAGGTTGGAAGTGGTGAGTGAATGAAGACTGTCCCGTGAGAAGAGTAGGCGAGGGGAGATGAGATGATGTCTTGGGGGCTTCTCTGGAGCAAGGACAGAAATGGGGAGGGAAGAGGAGAGGGCGTGTCTAAAAATGGCCGGGATGCTGGAGCATCCTAGTGCTCAGTTCTCATTCCAGTAGAAGTCTTTTCTCCATAGGGGACCGAGCCTTCCTTGGAGGCAGGGACCTAGACCCTCCACGAAGCCCAAGGCTAGAACGTAGACAGGGCTCATAACATTTTAGAAGAAGGAGGAAAAGGGGAGACGTAGAGAAGAAGAAGGGGATGCATACAGCTTATCTTCATATAAGAAGAATGTGGCTAACGAAATAAAATAGCCAGAGATGTGCAGAGCATTCCAAAAAAAGAGAGGGGCTCCAGTGGGCGGGCAGTATTTGCTCAGAGACTGCCGAGACTTAGTAGGGAGACCAGCAGAGCGTGAGAGGCCCTGGGCAAGTTCCCACGCTCCTGGGGGCTGCTGCTTGTGAGCAGATTGGGCTTGGCCTCTGATGTCCACCAGTCACTCAGCTCCCTTCAATCTATGTGCAAATGACCCCGAGACATAGGCCCACCCTTCCTCACCCGCAGAGACCCGACTCCTTCACGCTCTGGTCAGCCATGGAACTAGGAGCACCGTCGGCACCAGTGAACCCCATGATACTTAGGGATCCTTGTCCCTCACAGGCGGAAGTGTATGTGTATGAGAGAACCCCCATACCAAGCTCTCCGGCACTCTGGGGAGAACTCACTTAGGCCTCCTCAGGGCCGGCACTGAGGTGCGCGCCTGTCCAAGTGTCCACGAGCAGACACGGCCAAGAGCAAGGGCTCCAAGAAAGGCTCTACCTGAGCAGGACAGAGAAGAGCACCTTCTGGAATGTGAAGCTCCGCCCCATCCTGACCACCTCTCACCCACACATTCCCCCTAGCCCCTACCTGTCCAGACCGCCCTCACCTGCTCCGGGGGCAGCAAGCGGGCAGGCTGGTCCCGCCCCGCCGCCACGTGGCCGCCCGGGTCCGCTGCGCACGTCCCAGCTGTTCCGCTGGCTCCCTCCTGGCCGTCTTCCCAGGCGCTCCCTGGCAGGGCACCCGGCACTTCAGCAGCCCTGACTTCTGGAGGCCAGGGCCAGGTGGAGAAGGAGGAGCTGGGGAGAGTTCCTCTCCTCTTAGGCCACACGCAAGAAGGATCACGCTCCCTGGTGGCACTGACAGCCCCAGAGGAGAAGAAAGGAGTCTTAAAGAGGGCGGATCCCAAGTCCACCCTCTAGACTTGATAAGCCTCTGCAGCTACCCCACCCCCACTTCTGGCCAATAACTAGTTCAATGCAAGCAGCTGTGGTGCCCGACACTGGGATCAAGAGGACAGAGACACTGCCCTACTCATTGCAGTCTCCTCTCAAGAACTGCTAACGCTGCACACCTGCGTGAAAAAGGTCGGGGTGCAAGAAAGCCCACAGCTCTCTGAATGGTCTCACAGCCCCCTGGCAAGTGCAATGGAAAATTTGATCAGTAAACTGTGACCCTCCTAGCCGGGGATCTCTAAGTGTGGAAGTGTTGACAGGCGTTCTGAGATGCTTGCTGAGGAGAGGACGGAGAGTATCCTCACCATTTACAACAAAACCCAAAACCAGCTTTCCTGGCGTGAAGTAAGGTTTGCGGGGTCCCAGGTTGCACACACAAAAATACTAAAGCAACAGAGAGATTATTAAATGATCTCAATCTCCAACCTGGCATAGTTCCCGAACCATAAATAACTGGCTGGGCTCCCATGTGGGTTTCTGAGAAACAGGAGGGCAGCTGGGAGTACTTCCCACACCCACAAGCCTTTGTGTGAAAATCCCTAAAAATAGAGGTTGTTCTTTTAAAAACAAAAGGGAATGCAAAGCCCTGGGAACACTGACAGAGCCCCAACCTCTCCTTTCTGTATAAGCAAAGAATTTTGTAATAACCTATTTCTGCAAGAGAAGAGAAACTCAGAATACATTTTGAACAAAGAATAGCTAGGTGGACAGGAAGAATGGATCCTATCACTGGAATCTACTATCTATCCATACATTCATCTGTATAACTCCTGAAGTCATTTTTATTAGTTACTTTGGGGTTACACATAGCACTATATTTTTATTTATGTTCTGCCTAAAGCTGGTTTCCTGTTTGATAACACCTTTTGATGAACTCTTCCTAAGTGTCAGTGTGAACTTTGAAGAATCCACATTCAATTCCATATCAACCTCAGTTAAACACTTTAGATAAAGCAATCCACCCCTCTTTTCATAACTACTCATTATTATCTAGGAGTTCTGGTAGTGTAGTGGTTATGAGTCAGGCTGTTAGCCTCAAGGATAGCAGCTCCAAACTATCAGTCATTCTGTGAGAGAAAGATGAGGTTTTCTGCTTCCCTGAAGATTTACAGCCTTGGAAATCCTATACAGAGTCAATATGAGTCAGAACCGACTCCATGGCACATAATCACCACCACCACCATCATTTTCTAAATAAATGAGAAGTTCCCTTCAAACCATATTGCACTCTGTTTGACCCATGATCCTGTATAGGGTTTCCAAGGAGCTGCTGGTGGGTTGGAACCACTGACATGGTAGTTAGCAGTCCGATGGCTTATCCTACAACACCATACCAGGATTTCTCACAGACACCATTTAAACCTAGGAACAAATGTGTTTCTTTTCCTGATTTTAAGGCTAGAGAAGCCTGCCTATTTTCAAAGAAAAAAAAAAAAAAAAGTACCCTACTTAATATAGATTTATCTAAGAACAATGACACTAACCTTTAAAAATAAAAAAAAGAATAATTCACAACAAAACACTTTAAAAAAAAAAAAGACTACCCTTCTTGTGTTGAAAAACAATATCCTGCAAATCTTTTGAAGAGAAAAATTTCATGTTTAAGATACTACCATACATGACCTATGCATAAAGATGAATATTCTCTCATTAATTTATAATATTTACAATGAGAGAACCACCTAAATACCCATCAATAGAAGAATGGTTAAGTTAGGATAATGCAAATTCTTAGAAGAGGATCAAACCAAAATGAACAAGTTCAAAGCCCTGAGTTAAATAAATTATGGAATAATCATAGCATCCACTATTCATCTGTCAATTTGTTATACTGTGGTGGCCTGTGTGTTGCTGTAATGCTGGAAGCTATGCTAGTAGTTTTTTAAATATGAGCAGTCACCAATAGTGGACAGGTTTCAGGTGAGCTTACAGACTAAGACAGACTAGGAAGAAAGAGAGGTGACTACTTCTGAATGTTTAGCCACCAAAATCCCTAAGAATAGCAGAGCAACACTGTCAGATAACACCAGAATATAGAATATTGAAATATGATGAATAGCTCAGAATACTGTCAGGTACAGTGCCAGAAGACGAGCCCAACAAGTTGGAAGACACTCAAAACACAATGGAAAGAAACTGCCTCCTCAAAGTAGAAGTGGCCATGATGACGCAAATGGAGCAAAACTTTTGAGACCTTCGTTTGCTGATGGAGCACAACTCAAAATGAAGATATACAACTTTATATAATGATAGGAACATGGGATATACAAAGCATGAACCTAGGAAAATTGGAAGTTTTCACGAATGAAAAGGAATGAATAAAGATCAATATACTAGGCATTAGTGAGCTGAAATCAACTGATATTGGCCATTTTGAATCTGACAATTATATGGTTAATTATGCCTGGAAAAACATATTAAAAACGAATGGTGTCACATTCATCATCAAAAAGAACATTTCAACAAGCAAAAGGTCATTAAGAAAACAAGGAAGAAAGAAAAGAGCAACATGAATGTTGGAAGAGATATGAAATTTGCTTTCTAGTGTAGAGCTGCTAATGCTAATGGGAGAAATGAAGAGGTAAAAGAGCTGACCAGGATATTTAAAGGGCAGCTCAAAAAAATAAAGTCAAATATTATAATGAAATGTACAAAGATCTGAAATTAGAAAACCAAAAGGGAAGAACACACTTAGTATTTCTCAAGCTGAAAGAAATAGAATACTGAAGAATTCTTTGGGCAAACTATTGAATGGTACAGAAAGCATCAAAAGACTATGGAAGGATGAGACTTCTGGTCTTGGAGGCGGCAGAGACAGCCACATAGGAAAGGCTCCGTGGGGGAGGGGTTGAAAACCCAGAGAAGCTGCATACATGGAACAACACCAGAGCTCTGGATCTAACATAAGGCCCAGGGCATCAGTTTCCTGCATGTGCAAGTGGAAAAATCACCATATAAAGGAAAATACTGCAATTTAGGAATTGCTTGAGACGGGACTCCCTCTGCGGTCACCCTGTCAGGGCAGAGTTCGGGGGGTGGGGGTGGGGGGCCTACAGCTAGACTAGCACAGGGAACTGGCGCTAAAAGCGGTACAGTGACATTTTCAAAAGGCGGTGTGGAAGAGTCTACATATTTTTAACTCCTCTTCCCTGTAGCACCTTCTTTGCCCAGCCCAGACATGTGGGTGGGTGTCCACAAAAATAGTGGACAATCTTTCTCCCATTAACTTTTCAATATCTATCTGTGCACCTCTACAATGGTAACAAG